CAACATTTTGATATGGTGCTATTGTCGAACGGGAATCAAAAAGCTCGATGCAAGAAGTGTGGGTTGTTAATGGGTAAAGATGGCAATAGTACGTTGAGGAATCATGCAACTAAAAATCAATGTTGTAAAACTCGCCGAGTTGGCCGATTACTCCTCCGAGTACTCGCTACTCGCCCCCTTACCGAGGCGAGTTACAGAATCCCGAATACTCCCCGATCGGCCTCGACTGAACTAAGCAGTGTTGTACTACTCAGTCAACTCGGTGATTAATATGTATAATACAGTTAATGATTTATTATTTAACACACACACACACACACACATATGATTATTACTACATATATATCTTAAATTTTTAGTAATTATTCAGAAAGTGAGACCGTTATGTGTTTTTTAATTTTTGTGTATTCAAATTTATCTAATTTTGTTATATATGTCAATCAATTTATCTTATGATTTTGACATATGTAATTTCCCTAAAAATATTTCTACATGAATTTCCAAATCCGAGTACTCCCCGAGTACTCTCGAGTACTCGCTACTCGGTAGTCGGCCGAACAGGTACCGAGTAATGAGTTCTACAACCTTGCTAAAAATTGTCCAGTTGTAAAACGTCAAGGCGATCCGAGTCAACCTAATATTACTCCTGACAGGATGTTATTTATTTACAACAATGAAGACGTCCGTGAAAGCTTTTGCAAGTTTGTGATTCAAGAGGATTGCCTTTCAACCACTTCGACAACCCACAATTAACACGGATTTACTGGAAAAAATGCAACCTCATTACCGGCAAGTAAGTTGCACTACTCTTAGACGTGATGCAAATAAAGTATTGGGATATAGCCAAAAAAGATATGCAATTGGGATTTATAAATTTAAAAACCAGTGTTTCTTTAACTTGTGATGTTTGGTCCTCCACTAGAAGTGTTTCCACAAGCTATCTTGTCGTCATGGCACATTGGATAGACCCCTCTACTTGGGTAATGAATAAACGAGTTGTTGCTTTTGAAATTTTTGCGTATCCTGACACGAGGGCACGATTATTTGCAATTTTAGTAAGCGTTATAGAGACTTATAATTTAGACGACAAAATCTTCTCTATTTCGTTTGACAATGCAAGTAACAAAACCGCCGCCGCAAAAAGATTAATTGCGAAATATAGACCTATTTTGGATGGCTCGTTTTTTCATACTCGATGTGTTTGTCATCACATTATTAATAGCCGGACAAGATGGTTTAAAAATGATTATTTATACCATTGAAAATTTGAAAAATGTGTTAACTAGAGTTTTTGGAAAAAATAAAGCTACAATGGAAAAATATCGAAAGTTTGTCGTTTCCATTAACGTAACTCCATATAGTCCTCATTAGGATGTTGACACTAGATGGAGTTCAACGTGCATGATGTTGAAAGTTTGACACGTCCAAAAATCGCTTTGCAATTAATTTTCGACAATTGCAAAAGGAAAAAAAAAACCCGTTGTTGGATTTTGATTGGGATTTGATGGATCGGGTAGTAGTGAGGGTCGAATGGATTTTCATATCGACCTCTATAACTACCTTTTGGAGGAACAAAACAAACCAGCACGCACATCAACCCCTAGTAGCGAACTTGGAATTTATATGGGGTCAAACTTTTTAAAATTCATGAGTGCACCACAATTTAAAATTTTTGATCTTTTGGCTTGGTGGAGAGAAAAGGAAGCACAATTTCCTATTCTCTCTGTCATGGCCCACGGTTTACTAACCGTCCAAGCTTCCACGGTAGCTTCGGAGTTCGCTTTTTTTTGTGGTAGAGCTTTATCAAAGTTGAGGACGAATCTTACCCCGGTTGCGGTAGAGGTTTGCATTTACTTGAAGGATTACATGGATTCGGTGGAACGTATACAACACTTGGCATCACTAGAAGGCCCACTAGCACAAAATGTTAAACAAGAGATAATGGAAGAAGAATATGAACAAGGCTTGTCAACACCTCCGGAAGTAAACGAAGACGATGACGATGAAGACGAAGATGAAGAAGATGGTATTGATGATACCCCTTACCATTTGTGTGGCGGTTAAAGAACATTTTAGTGAAGGCGACACGAAGTGGAAGATCACAAAAACTCTTTCTATTTGGCAAAATGTTATAACGCCACTTTATTATTATTATTATTATTAGTTAACTAGTTTCTAAGCTCTTTCTATTTCGACGTTTGGCGTATGTTTTAACTATTTTAATGAACCTATGTTGCATTTTGTGTTATATATGAGGTCCTACAAATGTTTTTTTTTAATTTGTAAATTTCGGATCGGATCCAAACCGGATCGGATTAAACCGATTCGGATTCGTGGAAGGGAAAACCAGTCAAAACCGGATCGGATTTACAAGGAAACAGATTTTTGTTTGACGTCATCAAACTGGATCGGATCGACTGCTTGTGCATCTCTACTCAAGACCCTCCCAAGGGTCTGAAAGGATAGCTTAATGGTTCAAGAACATGTTATGTTCATGAATCATCATGTTGGGACCAAAAAGTAACTTAAAAGAGCAAAAACCTAGATCTACAAGATGGAGTGGAAAAGATGCAAGCTTTATACCTTTAAGATGTTGCAAACCAAGAAGAAATTTCAGATCCAAAGTGCTCTCAACTCCAATATCTTTTCACCGCCTTCTTCTATCTTCAAAATCACTCCAAAACTCTCTTAAAGGCTCAAAATTTGCTCTCTCTTGCTCTAGGGTTGCTTGAGGGTCGATATCACAAAAGGAGGCTGGATAAGAAGAGGATATGAGTCCATAAGGTTGCTTAAATATGAGCCAAAACCCTAAAAGTAGGGTTTGCATGCATGCCACGTATGCCCCGCGTATGAGGTGTATGCCCAACGTACTAAGGCGCGCCTTAGTACGCTTAGCGTATACACGTACGCACAGCGTCCTCCTCCAGTCCCAACTTTTACCAAATTGCCACTATGGGCCCTTTGCACACTTTCTCACACTTAGGGACTAAAATGCAATATAATTCAATTATAGGATCCAATTTTAGAAGTACCTCATAATCGGGATGTTACATAAAGATGTCACCAGGTGTCAACGATGTGCCAACAGGTTTGGCATCAAGGAGCCCTCCCCTAGCAAGAACATCATGGACATACTTTGCTTGACTTAGAAAAAGAACATAGTCGGTGTAGGTCACTTCCAATCCCAAGAAGTAGTTAAGTTGTCCCAAATCTTTAATAGCAAACTCTCTGTGAAGACGAGTGATAAATTGTTTAATTGTTGACTCGTTATTCCTAGTGAGAATGATATCATCTACATAAACAAGAAGATAGATGAGACATGATTCGCGCTTGTAGACAAATAAAGATGGATCGACACAGCTACATGTGAAACCAATATGAACAAGAAAATTGCTAAGTCTTAGAAACCAGGCACGTGGTGTTTCTTTTAAGCCGTATAAAGCTTTCTTAAGAGAACATACATAGTCAAGAACACGAGAGTTAATGAAACCTGGGGGTTGTTCCATAAAAACAGTTTCAATAAGATCTACATTTAAGAAGTCATTTTTGACATCTAATTGATGTAGATGCCATTGATGATAGTAGCTAAAACTAAAACAATTCGAGCAGTGGAAGCCTTGAAAACGAGACTGAAAGTGAAGGAATAATCTAACCTCGGAACCTGAGTAAATCCTTGTGCAACCAAGCCAGCCTTGTAATGATCAACTGACCCATCATATTTATATTTTGTCCTATAAACCCATTTATATCCCACAACATTTGAATTTTTAGTGCGAGGCACAAGATCCCACGTGTGATTCTTGTGCAAGGCATCCATTTCTTCACCCATTGCAGTCTTCCACTTCAAATGTTTAGATCTTGTTTTAAATCCCTTAGGATCTTTTAGCACAGGCAAAAATTCATGATCTGTTTACTTTTGCATAATGTGGACTTGTTTTAGATGCTAACTTAGCACAAGCTTTCTACTCTCAATGTAATGTGTCTGAAAACTCTCCAGAATGGTATATTGACTCTGGGGCAACTTCTCATATGACATCTACTCCAAATGGCCTTTCATCCTCCACACTATACTCAAGTCCTGATCGGGTTAAATTCGGCAATGGTAACTCTTTACCAATTTTCTATACCGGCAAATCTTCTATTAATAATAGGTTGCCTCTTCTAGATGTTATGGTGGTTCCACATCTCACCAAAAATCTTCTCTCAATAAATAAACTCACATCTTATTCTTTCGTTGACATATTATTTATTGATAATCTGATACCATGTGAGCTATTGATAATATTTATTGATAATAAAAAAACAATACGTACAATGGTTTAAATACACAAATAATCTCCTAACAATATAGAGATATAAAAAGGGAAATATTGAGAGAATAACAACGGGTATATGCTTTTCATAAATGAGAATTATTTCCTAACATTGGTTGATTTTTCTGTCCCGAAGAGATTGTTTTTTCACACTTTTAGTTCTAACTTAACGGCCCATCTATTAAACCCATAAAAATGAATTTTGTGCCCCTTACAAATTGGAAGGAAAGTTTTCTTTCTGTTTTCTTTCATTTCCTTTCATTAAAAAAATCAAGAACACCAATTTTTTAATTTTATTCTCACTTCCATCCATTTCCGGTCCCTTTTTTTCCTTCGTTAAGTTAAACTCGGGAACAAAGTGTAAATTCAATCAAAACCTAAACATCAAAGTTCAAACCTTTTTCTTCAAACCTTTTTCTCATTCCTAGTAAGGGAAATTAGACGGAACAAAATTACCTCATCAACCTTAACATTATAAATTTGAATAGTAGAATCCTCTTTCCCTATATAGCAATGATATTTTCCCACTCACACATGAGATTTGACTTGAGTAGATAAGACTTATTTACTCACATTTCCCAAAATGAAATGTTACAATCATTTATGTACAATTCTAGAGAACATTAATATTACAAATACAATTCAATATTTAAATCATGTAAATTCTAGAAAACTTACATTTACAACTTATCTTAAAAACCGAAAGACATGCTTCAACTTAGACGATGCTAGAGGACCCTTTTCTGGAGGCGCTGAGTTTTCCAACTTTGGATCGTGATCAGGCGACTCAATAATATGAACATAACCATCGCTCATTCCAAGAGCAAATTGGTTAGGATAGGATGGATGTGCTGCAATAACCACCGGATATGTGGTGGTGCTGTTGCTGCTTGAAAAAGAAAAAACATAAGTAACCCAACATCGACTTTTCATCAAACAAATAGTACATCGAGCTCACATGATGACACTAACAAATACTACAACTTCAACCACATGAGATGTCAAAATTGCTTTGTTACAACTTAAATGTATTAAAAATATCAAAAAACAAAAAACTGCTATGACCCCCATTTTCTTGTGCTGGGATTACATATATAACCATTAATTTCTAGTTCTCTTTTGTGCCATACCTGGAAATCGGTGTAGACAAGTAGGCAGAAGGTGCTATTCGACATTGAAGCCTCAAACTGTTTGCATCAAAAACTCCAACAGCACCATCCAAAAATCCAGTAAATATTAGCAAGCCATCAGATGAGTATGTTGCACTTGAAATTGCAGCAGAAAGAGGTTCTCTTGGAGACCACTGCAAAGGTTGATTTAATGAAACTACTTTATTAGTTACTAGTCATAATTAGCAATTTCTAAAACTAGTTAAGTTATGAGATCTGTGTATTTACCAATCTCAAGCACTCCAGTTGGTCGTCATAAATAGCAATTTGACTTTGATGTACAACAAGGAGATGGCGTTGATCATTATGAAACTGAACTTTAGTTTCTCTAACAAGTGAGGATGGATAGCCAGGTGGCGACTGTATGCTTCTTGATTTCTTCTTCCAGTTCCATGCACCAGTAATGTCCCAGATACATAGCTGTAATACACTCAAACATACAAATATGGAATTCTAAAACAAGCAGTAAAGGAAACTATACTGTCTTACAACAAACAGAAAATTAAGTGTACATCATCTACAACTTGCCTGAGCATCAGCTCCAGATGAAACCAGTGAAGTCCATGAAAAGGAAAGCCCTGTAATTTGTTTCATGTGACCTCTGAGTTCTCTTTTGACCTAATAAAACCATCATGGATATGATAAGAAGATACACTTCTACAAGACAATCTGATAAGTTGTAAAGGTTACCTGAAAAAATTCTAGGCTGTAAATTTGTATAACTGAATCTTCCCTTCCTATAGCAATGATGTTGTTGTCTCGAGGATGGAAAGCCAAGCAGGTGGCTGCAGGCGGAGGGGGCATGAAACTTATCATAGTCTGAAGTTTAAAAAAATGATCAACTATTTGAAATTGACACATTCCCTATTGATATTTTTAACTTTGAGCTCAAAGATACATTACATGGAAAGTTGCCATTTGGAACATGGAGAGTTTCCCACCAGAGGCAGACACAAAGTAGCCATCATGCTTTGGCAAAGCAATGCATGCTGCTGACTCTTCATCAGGTTTATTCCCACTTACATCATTACACATGACAGCTCCCTTTGTTGGTTGCCAGACTTTTGGGGCGATACATGCAGTTGACTTAAACATGTACAAGGAGCAATCAAAAGTCAAATTTAAAAGTTGAAATATGTTAATCAGAAATGCTCAACTCCAATTAACAAAAACCTTCCCAGATGGATTGCGTTTGCTTGGTTTCCATTTCCAGACCTTATGAATGCCACTTGAAGCAAGTGCTAGCAAATCTAACCCAGAATTTGTATAGATCAACTGCACAACCTGAAGACCAGGCTGTTTCTAGATTAATATAAATTATAAAGTACCAACGGATCTGGCAATAATTACTGATAAAAGCATATTGACATGATTAGAATATTCCAGTTATTTCATCGACTTTTCACCCATTTCAACAAATTTGGTTTACTTATTAATAGGGAGGACACCGAACTTAACCTACTTTGCAATGATAATTAGCCAAACACAGCTATTTGAAACAAACCTTGCAGGAATCCATTGGCAAGCGTAGAGTTTTGATGTGAAAGGAATCAACTATATCAGGGAGCTCCCAGCTTTCTTTATTAGCCTGCATTAATGTACACATATATAGTCAATTGAAGTTATCGATATGCATTGTATCGAGTATTAATATAGCTAATAATCAATTGAGTTCTGGTCTTCTACCAATCATCATATAAGGAGAACAATGATCCTTATGTTATATGTAAAGCTATCGATATGAAACACTTTATCAATTTAGTTGATGATATTCTTCATATAAATCAGCAAACGGTTTTTGCAATAATGCAAAAACAAAAACTATAGCAATTCTTAAGAGATTGGCTAGTTAATTTCTTTTGTAACATAAGAAATTGAGTAAATTACATGAATGGTCCCTATGGTTTAGGGTAATTTGCGCGTTTGGTCTCTAACTTATTTTTTTTAACTCGGAAGGTCTCTACTGTTTGTTTTTGTAACGCGTTTGGTCCTTGTCTTATCTAAAAAGACTATTTTGCCCTCGATTTTTTAATTTATTTAAATAAACACACTTCCAACCCCACCCCCTCACCTTACCTTACTTATCCCACTTTTTTTTCCTATTTAAATAATAGTCTTTTTAGGTAAGACAGGGACCAAACATGTAACAAAAACAAACAGTAGGGACCAATTTTGTAACAAAAACAAATAGTAGGGACTTCTGAGTTAAAAAAATAAGTTAGAGACCAAGCGTGCAAATTACCCCAAACCATAGGGACCCTTCGTGTAATTTACTCAATAATATATTACAAAACACCAACAAAAAGATATAACATGCATATATCATGATCCAAATACAAGAAACTATACCGTTAGTTGAAGAAACAGTCTACATGCATAATTGCATACATACTATAATTTCAAAACCATATTCCCAAATTTCTGAAAATAATAATCTTATTATTAGTAGTAGGAAATAAATTTAAGCAGATAAATGTATTATTTTATACCACATTTCTATGTTGAACACATATTTTTTTGATTTCATTTTTCTTTAAACTTAAAAAGTATTCTAGTAGTGAACCTTACAGCAGATGAAATACCTCACTTGAACTTTCTATTAGAGTAACAGAGTTAGATCAATATAATCAATAAAAAATATTTAATATAACTTACTTGATATCCAAGCGCAGTATAAAGCATTCTAACAACATCAGTTACTGATGGACGTTCTTCACGATCTCTCTTCAAACATTGATAAGCTATTGTTGTAAAAGCCCACAACGAATTTCGGGTTATTTCATCCCTTATATTACCAAAAATAATTGTATGTAATTTGTTTAGTTCGTAACATTCTCGTGCCAATCCTGGTAAAGGGCGATCATCCTTATTGCTAATACACAACCTTCCACACAACACTTCAAACAACACCACACCTAAAGAGTATACATCAGACTCTTTTGTAAAAAACCCAGTTTCGGCATATAGTGGATCACAATATCCAACAGTGCCTACAACTGAGGTGTAAAGAAATGTGAAGTTATTAGTGGGAGCAAATTTGGAAAGGCCAAAATCAGAGATTTTGGCGTTCCAATTTTCATCTAATAGGATGTTGGAACTTTTAACATCACCGTGCAATACTCTAAGTTGGGTTTCAGAACCATGAAGGTATGCTAATCCACGAGCCATCCCAATACATATCTTCAAACGTTGGGTCCAATTTAGATCATTGTTGTTGAGATGAAAGTCTAGACTTCTATTAGATAGGTACTCATACACAAGGATTTTCTCATTACTCTCGTCACAGAATCCTAAAAGATGGACCAAATTTTCATGTTTGTAAAGAGAAAGCATTGTGATTTCCTTCCAAAACTCTGGGTTTCCTTGCCCAAATGCACGGTCTAAGCGCTTAAAAACAACCATGGACTGCCCCTCAGAATGGAGGATTTCTCCTTTATACACCTTCCCAAAGCTACCTCTTCCGATACAATTCTCAGCAGCAAAGTTGTTAGTGGCAGATTTTATGGCTTCTAACGTTATTTTGAGGTGTTCAACCTCTCTTATATTAGACATCGATTTGGAGAAAATAGGAAAGATAATCAACAGCTCCAAAGACAAGAGCTTGAAGTAGCTGATAATGGATCAATTCTGCTCAGCATCGCCTTTAACATATAACCGCTGACAAGTCAACTAGCATGAAGAAATATCTGAAACAAGTTTACAAGTAGAGGTGAATGGTCTCTCACAAACAATAGATCAGACACCAGTCAATGAGCAATTGCAATAAAACTTGTGCATTTGGAGCTATTTGAAACCATTACAATTCAAATTCAATTTGGGCACGGTTTGACTTTTTGCATTTGAGATATGAAAACAAAATAAAAATCTGAGCGTTTATGCAACAAGAAATATCTTAACAAGTTTACCACATCTGAAAGAGACTTTATCGGCTTCGCCTTGTTGTTGCCGTTGCAGCAAACCTCGCCGTTGCCGCGTTGAATTAGAAAAGAGCGACGGTTCCCGGAGAACGAGAGAAAGAGACCTGTTATAAATTGACATTTGTTGCGGTTTTGTTTCTTCCAAATTTTTTTTGTTGGGTTTTGACTTTTTCGTTTTAGTTGATTCTTACTTACTTTCATGATTATATCAAGTATTACTACGTTGAAAATGATGGGAAGAAAAAAAAAATTATGTTGTTTCGGTCGAAAAGAAATTAAACAAATCTAACATTAATTACAAAAAATAGTAATTGCTGTTTTTTTGTAAATATGAGAAATTTTCATAAAAATCTATATACCATAGGTTCATTAACAATAGCCATCATTTTTTTTTCTGAAGTTACAGAAAATAGTTATTTTCAATTATGGGATATCTATCTATAAATATGCTTTGTTAATGCATTTTTTTCTCTAACCGATTTATTATCTTATCATAATCTTTTAATATTCTTTATGTCTGAAAAAGAATATTATTTTATTGTAATCCTGTATCAGGGAAAATACTACAAAAATCATTTTTTTTTATCCAACGTCATTTTTTGTGTGAAAAAAACTTAAGAAGTCTTTTTCATTTTTGGCATTTATCACCTTTTTTTTAATTGGCTACCCTCTCCTTGCAATCAGAGAAACGGATCACAAAGGGGTTGGCTGGATTCGTAGCCTCCCCACGAACCCATCACCCACAACCAAGGCCAAAGCATTTACCATAAAGTTGCATCCATTTTGGTGTAATAGATTGTTGCACTTTCATATATAATAGACAAAATTACACAAATGGTTATTGTGGTTGGTAGAAAATACCATTACAAGTCCTTTTGAGAAATTTTTAGCATGATTAGTCATTTTTATGTTTAAAATGCACACGATAGGTCCTTTTTCTACCAACCACAAAGACCCATCGTGTGTCTTTTGAATCTGAAAACGACCAACCATGTTAGCCAAAATGGCTCATCGTATGCGTTTTAAACTTGAAAAAGACCAACCATGTTAAAATTCCTGAAAATGACTTGCAGTGTTATTTTCTACCAGCCACAAGGGCCATTTGTGTAATTTTGTCTATATAACACTTAAAATGTTTGAAGCATATAGATATTAATATTCTTATTTCTTATTAGCATCTTTATTATTTTGTAATGTTCATCATCATTAATATTTTTATATAAATATAGTTTTATCAATATATAAATATGTTTTTGAAAATAAGTAAATATATTTTTAAATGTACAAATACATTTGTATATGTTTACAAACATATTCATACACTAAGTAGATGCCCACAATACGTTTTTAAATATATAATAATACGTTTTTGAATATATATATATATATAGGGAAGGGTTATTTGGAAAACAAAAAAACCCTAAAAATCATAAAAATGCATAAAAAAAATACCTAGATATCACAAAACTTTTTTTTGACATTTTTTATGAAAAAATCGCAGGTTTTTAAAGAAATTCGCTGAAAAAAATTTTGAAAAAAAAAATTATAAAAAAATTTTGATTTTTTATTTTATTTTTCAGCGAATTTTAATAAAAAACTGCGATTTTTTATAAAAAAAAATTCAAAAAAAAGTTTTGTGATCTCTAAGTATTTTTTTTATGCATTTTTATGATTTTTAGGGTTTTTTGTTTTCCATAGAACCATATATATATATATATATATATATATATATATATATGTGTGTGTGTGCGCGCGCGTGTGTGTGTGTGTGTGTTTTAAAGATAAAAATATGTTTTTAAATATAAATACTTTTGTTAAGATATAAATACATTTCTAGATGTATATATAAGTTTTAAATGTTTACATATATTGTTGTACCTTTACAAGTGTATTTATACATTTAAAACAACATATGTATACCTTTAAAAACATATTTATACTTTTAAAATATATCTATATATTCTAAAATGTGTTTGTATCTATATATTCTAAAATGTGTTTATATCTTTACAAGCGTATTTATACATTGATTATATATTTACAAAGGTATAAAAGCAATCTATAGTGAATGTATAAAATAAAATAGATATCACTTCATCTCATAAAAACTAGGAAACATAACTTTGTTTCCTTTTGGATTCTCTTTTTGTCTGCAAACGCCTAATTCTTAGAAACTATTAATTGTTTCATCATAAGTTCTATTAAATTCGACTTTTTTACATTGCAATCGATATATAGTAATTTAATTTAGCTAACTGTAAGGAAAATACGAGGTGTGGATTGAGACAGTTGATTCGGTCCAAAATACAGAAATAGTATGTCGCTACAAGCCTACAATACTTAACGTGAGTCATAGAATTTATCTATCGACATTCTACGCATATAACTTGACTTTGCAAGGGATTAACAAACAAACTATCATCATGCAATTTGTAAAATTTTATATAATTTATTAAATTACAACAATGAAAACGTGTCAGATACTCGTAAACAAATCATTAATGATTTTTTTTCTAAAGCTGAGAAGAAAACTTCTCAAGTGGGGGTGGGGGTACTTGGAAAGCAAAACCAGGGGGTAAAGTCATGAGTGCCTCATCTCCACTTAATTTCCTGAAAGCCATTCCAAGTGCATACCCCAAGGTCTTTGAAACAGAAACAGCCACAGCATTTCCCACCTGACAATACCTGAAAATTTTTCCAGTTAATTTGGTTGGATGGAATGGAATGAACCATTCCATTCCTTTCCAGATTCCATCATACCAAAAATTATGTAATTGTTATTACTTGAATCTGCCTTGCATACCTTTCTTTAACATTGCCACAAAATCTATAATGATCAGGAAACCCTTGCAGCCTTGCACACTCTCTTACAGTCAGGACTCTGTCCTGCTCTGGATGTAATGCTTTCTGTACAATTTTATAACCTTAATAAACCAATTCAAAGTATGCATTTTTACATTTTTTTTTCCTTAGCAACTTACTTTCATTTAGTTGTGTATTATCACATCCAATTTTCCTTTCTTTCAATTACAACATTGTAGTTTGAATTTTGAAAAACCTACCCAATTACAACAGTAAAAACTGCTTCATATCTAGATGAGATTGCTATGATTGGGTAGATTTTTCAATGAAAGTAAGTTGCTATTTCTTGCATTTAACATGTTTGTTTTTTACCTGGCTGTGAAGATTTGGGATTGTTAAGACAGTTGGCACGTTTTCATCCCACCATAATCTTGCAAATGGCCTAACAAATTTTCCAAAATTTCAAGATGTCAGTAAAAGTTTAAAAAAAAAAATTAAAAAGATGTTATGATAATTGATAAGGTAGTCTATGAGAACATCAAACCTTCTAGATCTTCCTTTTTCAAAGGTGAATACATAATCTGGTATCTACATCGAAAAAAAAGAACAGAATATATAAGCATGAAATTTGCATAAGTTGATCTGGTAAGTTACATATACATAATACATGTTTCTTTTGAATTAATGCAGAAAAAACAACTTAATGAAGAAAGTGAAAGGAGGTTTTCATCATAATTTCACAATATATAATAACAAAAAAAAAAAGTTTCTAGATTTTTGTTACTAACAACACAAGTACAATGGAAACTCCAAAGACCTTTAACAATTTATAAAGTAAGGAAATTACAATTTTATTATTTATTACAAACCCTAAAATTTTGGTATTTTGGTTTTAGTTTTTATACTTACCAATGGCTTTCCAGATGGAAGCAACACTTGTTCCACTTTTTTATTGAGGCGAACCACATTATCAGAACTCACAGTTATTCCAGGGAAGTCTCTGAAATTTGCTCCCTATAAATCTTGAAAAAATAGAATTAGGAAACAAGAAAGGATAAGAAAATATTTAAGATGAAAATGTAACAAGTAAATTAACCTTTCTGTGTGGAACATAACACACTCGATGAAAATCATCTTCAGATAATTTATATGTTCGATGATCTGTGAGAACAGAGCTTTTGCAATCTATATCCCCTTTTGAATCATAACCATTAAACTCTACATGAAGGAGGATTATATATTATATAATTAGATCTATAATATGTCAAAATATAGGGTGATTGCAATCTATATCCCCTTTTGCAATCTATAATATGTCAAAATATAGGGTGATTGCAAAGCATTACCATCTTTTGTTAACCTTATATACTTTTGGAACTCTGTTTGTGGAGGCATTTCATATGGGATTTCTTCACGTTCTTCATGGCTTGTAACCTGTGTATTAATTTTTAAATTAAATTAAATAATATTATTCAAGGATAAGTAAAAGAAAAAGATAATTAAAGTATAATGTAGTAGAGAGAGAAAGAGAGAGAGTACAGGTGGCAGATCAGAGATGGCATCACGAAGAACAATGGCTTCTTGAAGCTCTCTAGGTTGCCCTTCCTCATAAGCAACTGTATGTTGCTGCATTTAAAAGAATTTTATAATTAGAATATGGATTATTTTAATCAAAAATGGATAAAACTTTGACATATTTCAATGATGTAAATCAAATAGCACCTCAAACTCAGCTGGAGGAAAGTATCTGACAATAACTTCATGTGTAGGAAGTGGAAATTGAGGTAGTCTCTGCAAACAATAATCTTCCATCAGAAATGCAACAATGGCTAAAAAGTAAGAGTAACTTTTAGTAAAATATTAAAAAGGTAAAATGAGTAAAGAAGATACCTGAGTTGGAAGAGCACCCCATATAAAAACACGTAACCTAAATTGTGGAAGACCATAAGAGCCAGCAGCCATAAGCCCGAGTCTTGCTTGATAATTCATATGAATTAAACGACTTAAAGCATATCTTCCTAAAGAACCTTTATCAAATCTTAAGATATCAGCAACATTTTCCATCAACACATATTTAGGTTTTAAGAATTTTACTATGTCAAAAAAGACAACTATTTGCTGATTTCTTTCATCAGTCAGTGGATTATCCGTGTTTCTAAACCGATTATAGCCACTGATCCCTTGACATGGAGGACCTCCACATATAACATCCACATCACCCTGAAGAAATAGAATTTTTTTTTTTACCATTTATGAAGATAAGATATCAATGAAAAAAAATTTAGTAATTAATATATGTTATAAGTTATAACTTACTGGAAGTGGCAATATCTTGGACTGGTATCCATGTCTGACAAAATCTTGTATGTGATCTTGGCAATCACTGTGGGAGGTAAAAA